TTTCAACAGGTTTAAAAATTCTGTATTCATTCTCGTATAGGAAGTACATCAACCATATTCACCTTCCTTTACCCTCCCTCTCTCGTAAGTGACCCCCTCTTAACATAACCTGTTCTTCATGATATTGCTTGTATTTGTTTGGGTCTGTATTCCACATATAAGAGAGAATATGTGGTGTTTGGTTTTCTGAACCTGGCTGACTTCACTTAAGATGGTGTTCTCCAATTCCATCCATTTACCTGCAAATGATAAAATTTCATTCTTCTTTATGACTGAATGAAATTCCATTGTATATAAATACCACATTTTCTTAATCCATTAATTAGTAGTGGGGCATCTTGGCTGTTTCCATAGCTTAGCTATTATGAATAGTGCTGCAATAAATATGACTGTACAGGTGCCTTTGTTGTAACCTGACTCACATTCCTAGGAGTGGTATTGCTGAATCATATGGCAGTTCTATTTTTAGTTTTGTGAGGAGCCTCCATACTTTTTTCCATAGTGGTTGTACTAGCTTACATTCCCACCAGCAGTATACATGAAGGTTGCTTTCCCCCTACATCCTCACCAACATTTGTTGTTGTTTGTGGTCTCGATGATAGCTATTTTAACAGGAGTAAGGTGGAATCTTAACATGGTTTTGATTTGCATTTCCTTTATGGCCAGGGATGTTGAGAATTTCTTCATGTGTTTTTTTGGCCATTTGGACTTCTTCCTTTGAAAAAGTTCTATTCAGTTCATTTGCCTATTTCTTCAAGGGGTCATTGATTTTTTTAGGGGAGTTTAGCTTTTTGAGCTCCCTGTATATTCTGGTTATTAATCCCTTGTCAGATGTATAGTCCCATTCTGTGGACTGCCTCTTCAGTCTGGTGACCATTTCTTTTGTTGTGCAGAAGCTTTTTAATTTCATGTAGTCCCATTTGTCAACCGTTTCTCTTAGTTGCTGAGCCTTTGAGTTCTATTTAGGAAGTTATTGCCTGTGCCTGTTAGTTCCAGTGTATTCCCTGCTCTTTCCCACACTGGCTTCAAAGTTCCATGTTTTATATTAAGTCCTTAATCCACTTTGAGTTGTTACTTATACAGGGTGAAAGACATGGATCTAGTTTCAGTTTTCTGCAGACAGTAATCCAGTTTTCCCAACATTTGTTGAAGAGGCTGTCTTTTCTCCATCTTATGTTTTTGTCACTTTTGTCAAAAATCAGGTGGGCGTAGCTGCATGGATTCATATCTGGGTCTTCTGTTCTGTTCCCCTGGTATTCGTGTCTGTTTTTGTCCTAGTAACGTGCTGTTTTAACGTATTTTTAATTTTAGAAAGTAAGGGGCTTCATTGTGATATTTCCATACATACATATAATGTACTTTGACCCCCTCTATTACACTTTCTTATCCCTCCTTCCCCTGCCACTTTCCCCTTCCACCATCCCTAATAATTTTATCCACCCTTTTAATTTTATGTCTTTTTTCTCCCTCAGTTCCACATATGAGAGAAAATGTGGGATACTTGTCTTTGTGAATCTTCCTTATTTCATTTAAATATTTCAAACTCCAGTTCCATCCATTTTCCTGGAAATGATATAATTTCATTCTTTTTTTAATGGCTGAATAAAATCATTAGTGTGTATATAACACATTTTCTTTATGCATTCATCTGTTTGCTCGTACCTAGGCAGAGTCCATATCTGGCTATCGTGAATAGTGCAGAAATGAACATGGGTATGCAGGTATCTCTATGATAAACTCACATTGATTATTTTGGGTATGTAAATGGAAGTGATATAGCTTGAGCGTATGGAAGTTCTATTTTTAATTTTTTTGAGGAATCTCTGTACTGATTTCCATAGTGGCTGGACTAATTTACATTCTTGTAAGCAGTGTATAAGAGTTCTTTTCTTCCTACATCCCCACCAGCATTTGCTTTTTGTCTTCTTGATGATAGCCATTCTTACTAGGGTAAAATGTGTAGTGTTTAGCCTTGATGGCTAAAGATATTGAATATTTTTTCCTGTATTTACATTGGCCAGTTGTATTTCTTCACTTGAAAATCATTTGTTCAATTCATTTGACCATATATTGATTAGATTATTTGCTCTTTTGGTTTTTTTGTTTGTTTGTGGCACTGGGGTTTCAACGAGGGCCTCACACTTGCAAGGCAGGTGCTCTTACCATTTGAGCCACTCCACCAGCTCTCTTTTGGTGTTTAATTTTTCGAGTTCTTTCCATATTCTGGATATTAATCCCCTGTTGGATGAATTATCTGGCAAAAAGATTTTCTCTCATTCTGCAGTCTGTCTCTTTGCTTTTGATTATTTCTTTTGCTATGCACAGCTTTTTAATTTAATGCAACACCATTTGTTAATTCTTGCCATTATTCTGTGAGCTATTCGAATCCTATCCAGGAAGTCATTGCATATGTGTGTATATTAAAGTGTTTCCGATTTGTTTTCCTCTCATAGTTTCAAAGTTTTGGCTTCTTACATTAAGGTCTTTGGTCCATTTTGAGTTGATTGTTTGTATAGAGTGAGAGATGGAGATCTACTTTATGCCTTTATAACTGGACATAAAGTTTTCCCAGCACCACTTGTTAAAGAAACAGTTTTTTGATTCAATGTGTGGTTTTAGCACCTTTGTTGAGAATCATATAGCTATAGTTGTGTGGACTTATTTCTGGATGTTCTAGTCCATTGTCCTGGGTGCCTATTTTTATTACTATGGCTCTATAGTATAATTTGAACAGGTATTGTGATACCTGCAGAATTGTTCTTCTTGCTCAGGATTTCTTTGACTATTCTGGGTCTGTGTGTTTCCATATGAGTTTTATAATTTAAAAAAAATACATTTCTGTGAAGTATCCCATTTAAATTTTGATGGGGATTACACTGAATCTATGTATATTGCTTTTTGGTAATATGACTGTTTTGACTGTTAATCTATTAATTCTGCCGATTCATGAATATGGGAGGTCTTTCCATTTCCTAATGTCTTCTACAATTTCTTTCTATAGTGATTTACACTTTTCATTGTAGAGGTCTTTAACGTATTTGATTAAGTCATGTTTAGACATTTTTTAGACTATTATAAATGGGATTGTTTTCCTAACTTTTTTTTCAGTGAGTTTGTTTTTTGGCATATAGAAAAGCTACTGATTTTTGTATTTGACTTTTATATCCTGCTACTTTGCCAAAAGTGTTTATCAGATCTACTGGTCTTGTGGTGGAGTCTTTCAGCTTTTCTAACAACCTGAAATTAGCTTAGAAGCATATTCTGCCCAGAATCTCCAGATAACAGACCATGCTCCTTTGGCCATCTGTCACACAGAACTTTCAAATTATAAATTTGTATTGTTTTAGGCCACTAAGTCTGTGGTCATTTGTTACAGCAACAATGGAAGTCTAAAATATATACTAATATAGTCACTATGGCTTTCTTTCATTAGTATTTTGTTATAACTTTATCTATTCTTTTGCTTTTAATCTGTGAGTTTATAGTGGTTCTCTTACAGACAATGTATGGTTATTTTTCTTATTTGCCCAATATGATAATCTGTCTTTAAACTAGCATTTAAACCATTTAGTTTAACGTAATTCTTAACAGGATTATGTTGTAACTACCTTATTGCTGTAGCTGGAAACTGCCTACAGTCAGTAAACTGGGACAATACTAAGATGTATCCCCTTTATTTCCTTCCTTCCTCCTTCTCTGTTCTTTACTGCCTTTTGCCTAATGTCCAAAAACTGGTGTTTTGTGTATTTTTTCAGTTCCTTTTTTAAGGTGGGAAAGTAAATCCTTTTCCTGGATTTAAGACTGGAAGTAGAAGTGCTAAACAGTGTGATTTCTAATTAACATTATAAGGAAACACTTTACACCAACTTTTTATGTGAGATATGAATGTGTGCTTGGTGTGTGCTTGTGTAATTTAGTCAGCCATTGAAAGTATAATACATGCACTTTCTGGGTGCTGGGTGCTCATACCTATAATCCTAGCTATGTAGGATGCAAAGATTGGGAGGATCATGACTTGAGGCCAGCCTGGGCAAAAAAGTTTTGAGACTCCCATTTCAAATAATAGTTGGGCGTGGTAGTATTCTTACTGCAGGAAGCATAAATAGGAAGATCACAGCCCAGGCCAGCCCAGCCAAAAGCAAGACCCTATCTCAAAAATAACCAGAGCAAAGAGGGCTAGATGTGTGGCTCAAACAGTAGAGCACCTACCTAGCAAGCATGAAGTCCTGAGTTCAAAACCCAAGACTGCAAAAAAAAAAAAGGAAAGAAAGTATGATGCATGCATATGCACTTAAATGTAAATGTCTTATGAACATGGTAGCTGGCTGCCTTTTTCTTTTTTATTCACATATATTATACAAAGTGCTACCTTTTAACAAACAGAAATAAATAATCAGTTAATGATAGAATTTCACCATATCCTGAACATGTCAAACTTTTCCAGTCTCCATGTCTTGGTATATCAAGTTCTTTCTGCTTAGAGTGCTTCCTTCTCAAGTGGTAGAGTACCTGCCTAGCAAGTGTGAGGCCTTGAGTTCAAATCCCAGTACCACCAAAAAAAGCACATTTGTTGGCAAAGTGGCTCAAGTAGAGTGCTTCTTCATTCTCCTTTCCTTTCCTGCCTGGCAGCTTTCCATGTATCCTCTGGAACCAGCTCCATAGTTACCACCTCTCTGCTTCCCAGTACCATAGACAGAACTCATATTTCCTTCTGACTCCCATCGTACCCTACCCATGGCACCATTTCAGCAAATGTCATGCTGTGTTTTAATTGTGTGTTTCTATGTGGATTGCCTCTTACTAGGAAATCCTTCATGGCAGAAAACTTATTTAGTCTTCTTTATGTCTCTCTTATTCCCAGCACAGTGTGGCTTTTCAATAAACAGTTGTTGAGTTAGACTCTTTTTATGAGCTGCAATATATTGCTTTCATGCCTCTCCATTTCATTATCACCTGTTTGTAAAAACGAATCTTCTTTAATAATTTTACTTCTCTCCTAGTAAATTCCTCATCTATGCCTGTCTGCTGCTGTTCTCTGTGCTGCTGGCCCTTCGTCTGGATGGTATCATTCAGTGGAGTTACTGGGCTGTGTTTGCTCCAATATGGCTGTGGAAGATAATGGTCATTGTTGGAGCCTCAGTTGGAACTGGAGTCTGGGCGCGAAATCCTCAATATCGGTAAGATTGCTTTATAAAACCCATTGGTCTCTATCCTGAGGGAGAAATAACTTAGTTTTTTCACACACATGATAAAGTAAAGATCATTTTCTTTTCTTCCTTTCTGGGATGTTATAAGAACTGTAGTACAGGCAAACTGGTATCTCTTCAGTATTTTTAAAAATTAGTCGTTCAGTATGTATTTTCTTACAAACGCAGTGTTAGTTTGGGTGGTTCAGTGTTTAGCCAGTTCACAAAATATCTGTATAACCCAAAATGTACCTCAAACACAGAATTGTTATGTGCTACCAGACTGAGAAGCATGAAACCACTGTGTTCTTCTAGCCTTGATCATCAGGGATCTGTTTCCAGTTTACTTTTAGAACTAAGACTTCTCTTGCCCCACTCTCTTAGTCCTGGGATTTTAAGACTTCTACTTCTAGGGAGGTGGCTTGGCCAGAAGCCCATCAGTGCCTTAGACAGGAGCTGGGGATTGAGGAAAGGAAGGCCGAGCTTTTGGGAGAAAGGCAGAGGGTACAACCTGGTGTATCTTAACTCGGTGGGAGTCTTTCCTTTCTCTGTGAGACACAATACATAAAACAGGGAGACTGGAGAGTGGGAGCTGTTCTAAGCCTTCACCAGGAAGATGAGGAATGAAGCAATGCCCAGTAGGCAGGTGGGGAGGGTAAAGGAAGATAACATGCAACTGCTCATGTGGGAAGAGTATAGAATTTGGAACCATCTCAGCATTTAAAATTCTTAATTATTAACTGTAAGCAGAAGTTATTTAGGTAGTGTAAAATACACATCACATAGCTATCAAGGCACTTTCAAGTAGCTATACAAAGAGCTATGTAGCTCTTTTAAAGTTCTTAGATTTTTTTCTGAAAGATTGATTACCTGTGTAGCTGTACATCTTTTTTATGAGATATTTTCAGATATCTAAATTTTGTTCCTTAAAAGAATGAAAAGTTAGCATGTTAGTTTCTATTAATACTTGAAGCTATTGAACTTTTTCTCTGTTGGTTTAAGATTTTTTTGAGAAAGGTAAGGAACTGTTGTGTGAATTTGGTTAAATTTATGGAGTGTAACATTAACCAGTAGAACACTGTTGGGTCCTACAGGAATAATCTCTGTACTAAACTCACATGTACTTATACCCACAATACATGTATGTCAGAAATGTTCCTCTGTATTTCTGATGAACATCATAGGCCTTTCAGATGCATTATAAAGCATTTTCCTGATTTGTGACCTTTTTTTTTTGAGTTGTTAATCTGTTAAGGTCATGATGATACTTAAACAGCAATTAGAACTACTTTTGTTTGTGAAGAGTTTTAACTTTCCTTCTTTCTCTTTCATCTGCAGGTTTTAATTCATCCTAATGGAATAAAGGAAATTTTTTAAATTATATTTTTGTTTGCATTGTAAAATAGCACCTAACAGAGCTGCTGTTATCTCGTTGAATATAACCCACACTTGTTCATAAAGCTAGTTACGTTTATAGTACTGCACGAAATGTCATTTGTATGGTTTTTAATTCAATTAGAGATGAATATCATGAGACTTCAGAGATATTTGTCAGACTTTAAAAATAGAAGCAATCAACTTGAAAAATCTTGAAAGTAACTCTTACAGTTGAATTTAAAGTTATGAAGAAAAGTATTTATGTACATTGTCAGGGAAATAATAATTCTGATTTATATACTTATACATTTAAAACATTACTGCTTTGTAGTGTTCAATTCCTCTCATGTAGTGGTTCTTTGATGTTAGAAAAACTACCTGTTGGGCCAGACAAGGTGGCTCACATCTGTAATCCCTGCTACTTGAGAGGCAGTGATTGGGAGGATCATGGTTAGAGGCCAGCCTGGCAAAAAGTTAGCAAGACTCCATTCCAGCCAATAAGCTAGGTGTGGTGGTTTTGGCTATGGTCCCAGCTATGTGGGTAAGCATAGGCAGGAGGGTCACAATCTGAAGCTGGCCCTGGGGAAAAAATGTGAAACCCTATCTAAAAAATAACTAAAGTAGAAACAGGGTGGTGGCATGGCTCAAGAGTTAGAGCACCTGTCTAGCAAACATGAGGCCCTGAGTTCAAATCCCAATACCACCAAGAAAAGAAAAAGACTGTTAAAAGATTAAGTTAGCTTTCTACCTGATTTTCCTTTGTGTTTTGTCAAATTTACAAGTAAAATTCAAAATGTTAACACAAGTTGGTATTTTTCCTGGACTGCTTGCTTATAGTGGAAATTTTGAACTGAAGTTTTGTTTTGGTTTTTGGTTTTTTGTCCCTTTTTAGAGCAGAAGGAGAAACATGTGTGGAGTTTAAAGCCATGCTAATTGCTGTGGGCATCCACTTGCTTCTGCTGATGTTTGAAGTCTTGGTCTGTGACAGGATTGAGAGAGGGAGCCATTTCTGGCTTCTGGTCTTCATGCCACTCTTCTTTGTTTCCCCGGTGTCTGTCGCAGCTTGTGTCTGGGGCTTTCGACATGACCGGTCACTAGAGGTGAGAGTTCATATGTTTAAAGATGTTTTGGAAAGTTATTCTAATGTCATTTTCTTGCCTTTGTTAGGAACAGATTTATCAATAACTTTAGATCATGGTATATAAGGAAACAAAAGAAGATAACTCAAATAGTTCTCTTTCTTGACTTTCTCTCTAGGCTAGTAGCCTTTTGTATCCATCAGGTTTCTCCAGATAAACAGAACCAATAGATAGATGGATAAATAAAGAGATTGATTTTAAGGAATTGAGCCACGTGACTGCAGGCTAGCAAGTCTGAGATATGTAGGTTTGAGTCCAGCAGGATTTGATACAGCAGTTCTGAGGCAAAATTTCTTCCTATCCAAGAAACCTCAGTCATTGCATTTAAAGCCTTCAACTGAGTGGATAAAGCCCATCCACCCCACATTATGAAGAGTAATCTTTGTTTAAAGTCAGTACCTTCACAGCAGTGCATGTACCTTAGTGTTTGATTAAATAACTGGGTACTGTAGCCCAGCCAAATTGACTCATAAAACTAACCACCTTACTCCATCACACCCCATGTTAATAGCTCCTCAACTGCTCTCTGGTTGGTTTATCCTAATTTGCCCATAGGTTTATTTATTTACTCAGTAAACATTTATCAAGTATTTACTATATGCCAAGCATTTTTGCCTAAGAATATAAGAGACACAGATGAATTTAAAAATCAGAACTAGTAATAGTAGTTGTGAAAGTAGTTGTGGGTAATATTTATGGCTTACTTACTGTGTGCCAGGCATTTGGATAGGCATTTCACATGCAGTGGTACCTTATTAAATATTCATAACAAGCCTACAAGGTAGATGCAGTTTTTTCCCATAAAAGGTAATTTGTTTGTGACCACACATTAAGTGACAGCCATAATTCCATCTCAGTCTTCCTAACTCCAAAGCCTGTACTTTTAACTGCAGGCAAACTGAGGACTCAAAGCTTTATACTAATGGGAGGCAGTAGCCCCCCTTATCTGTGGTTTTCCGTTCCATGGTTTTAGTTTCCTGTGGTCAGTCATGGTCTGAAAATACAATACAGTAAGATGTTTTGGGAGAGACACCACATTCACATCACTTTTATTGTAGTATAATTGTTCTATTTTATTATCGCTATTGTTAGTCTCATACTGTGCCTGACTTATAAATTAAGCATTATTATAGATAGGTATGTATTAGAAGAAACAGTACATAAAGGATTTGGTACCATCTCCGGTTTCAGTTGTTGGCTAGGAGTCTTGTAGTGTATCCTCTGTAGATAAGTGGGGCAACTGTAGAACCCTGTTTTGAGCTATGCAGATAAAGAGGAGAGGAAGGAGACTGCAGTTATGTTGGAAAGGCCATAGGAACCAGAGGCTGAGCCTTTGTCCCAGGTATAGGTTTGAAAGGAAGGTGCCCAGAGAATAGATGGTAATGGAGCAAGGCCCTGTGGGACCCAGTGGAATCAGGAACCAGAGCATCAGGAAAGGCTTAGCCTTGGAATGGGGTGATTACTACTCTGGAACTGATAAAAAGCCATGGTGCAGGTTGGCTGGTAGGTAGGTGTAGACTACAGAGGGAGGGTACCACTCCTGGACCACATTTTGCCCTTCCTGTAGTTCCTTAAACCTTCAGCAGTCTATCCACTTCTCTTCTGCACTGCTTCCCTATGACTGCTTGCCAAGGCCTGCTGAAAAATGTCATGTGATTATTCATGGATTGGGCCACCACTTGTTAATAGTCTCTAGCTTCAGCCAGACCACGTGTTAATAGGGCCATAGCACTCCAGCCCCCAAGAGATGAAAATTTGTTTGAGGACAGGAGTGGGGAAAATCTTATTCTTTTTATGAATAAAGCACAGGCATGCATACAGTTTATTACCTAAAATATCTGTGGTATTAAAATTTCATGAGAGGCACAATTAGGAAACAAATTTCTACTGTGGCTTCTTGGGGTTGCCGTAATGGAAGCCAATTGAGCAACACTGAGCTGGCCTTCCTGTCACTGTGCAACCTGTTACCATCTTCTGTGCAGACAGCCTCCTACTCCCCAGAGCCATTTGCAACCTGTCCTCCTCTTAAAGACCTCCCTGTCCTCCAGCCTCCCTCTTTGCAGATCTGTCCCCTCAGCATTTGCTCGAGAATTTAGCTGTACCCCAGCAATTTCGCTCTGTCTCATTGAAAATAAAAAGGCAGGAGCTGCAAGCTTTTGCTTAGCTGTTACTCCATTCACAGAACAGCTCCTCCAAGCATGCTGTTTCTTCACTGTCTTATTCCTTACTGCTCAGTTCCTATTCACCCCTTTCCTCCGCAAGATCTGGCATGAGTACCCAGGGCCAAGGCCAGGAGGCCCCTTTGAGTCCTCATCTCTTTGGATCGTTGACCACCCTGGATCTCCAGATACTGCTGAGCATTTCTTCACACCAGCAGCACTGTCCTTGTCTCTCTTTCTTGGAGCCTTTGATCATAAATTTAAAAACATTTTATTAGTATATATTAGTTGTACAGGGGGCTTCATTGTGACATTTATATGCGTATTTACAATGTACCTTGGATAGATTCACTCGCTCCCTCACTCTCCTTCATCCCCTCTCCCCCTACTTAAAACAATTTCAACAGGTTTCATTGTTCTATTTTCATACAGGTATATAAAGTACATCAACCATATTCACCCTCCTGCACCCTCTCCATTCGCCCTCCCCTCCCATTAATACTCACCCTCTAAGAGGACCTGTTTGCATTCCTGTCCTTCATTTTTTTAAGTGTATATTCATTGTTCTAAGGGGATTCCACATGGTATTTCACCCATGAATACATTGTACTTTAACCAGATTAGCCTCTTATATTACTGTCCCTAACCTCTCCCACCCTACCTCCTATTAATCAACACCTTTCAGTGAGACTGCTTGATGGGACTAGGGAGAGGAAAGAGGAAAAGAAAATGACAGAGAATACTATCAAAATACATTTCATCTGTGTAGGAAGATGGTGTAACAAAATTCACAGAAAGCTGTTGATTGTCAACTTGATTAGACTGAGAAACACCTAGGAGATTAGTAAAGCAAAACCTCAGGATATGTCTGTTAGGGTGTTTCCAGAGAAAATTAACTAAAAGGAGAAGAGCTGACATAGGCTGGGGGACCAGATGAATAAACGGGAAAGCCAGTGAGCATAGGCATTTTTCTCTCTTTTCTTCCTGGTTTCCATGCTGTGAGGCGCACTTTCCCACCATGCCCTCCCCACCAGGATGGTCTGAAACCATTAGCCAAGAGAAATCTTTGTTTAGGACTGGCAGAGTGGCTCAAGCTGTAGGAGCACCTGCCTAGCAAGTGCATGAGGCCCTGAGTTCAAACCCCAATGCTACAAAAACAAAATAAGTAAAGAAAAAGATAAATCTTTGTTCTGCTCAGGTTTTTGTCACAGCAATGAAAAGTTTTCTAACACATAGCCTCTGTCCCTTGGTCTTCTCCTTTGTTGAGTTTTATTCCTTTCAAGTTGCTGTTTTTCAGCGTTCTGGTCTTGGATATATCTTACTATTCATACTTGCTCTGAATGACCTTGTTGACACTCCTGCATCCACTGCCTTCATGTGTTGTTGCCTCCTAAATTCCTATTTATAACCTCACTTTCTCTACTACTTACAAGCTCCTTGCCTAGCTTCACTCCAGTCTGACCTCCCTCTTGGTTTATAGGCACCATTCCATCTAGTCATCCACACTTTTCTGTTTTGTGCCTCTGTTCCTTAGCCTGTTGTTTCTACTACCTGAGGAAATGAAATAAATCCAGACTTTAAAAATCATCAGAAAAGCCTCTATCAGCCGGGCGCCAGTGGCTTACACCTGTCATCCTGGCAACTCAGGAGGCAGAGATCAGGAGGATCGTGGTTCAAAGCCAGCCCGGGCAAATAGTTCATAAGACCCTATCTTGAAAATACCTAACACAAAAAGGACTGGTGGAGTGGTTCAAGGTGTAGGCCTTAAGTTCAAGCCCCAGTTTCGCAAAAAAAAAAAAAAAAAGAAAAAAGAAAAGTTTCCATCAAACAAAAATCATGGAAATCCAAACCTATTTGCTCCAGCATTTCTCAGTAGAGGAAGGAGGTATGCTATTGGCATTTTGTATAGGAAAGTTTGGGTTGAACAAGTGTTTTATGCTTTGCAGGACACTTATCCCTGACCCTTATGCAGTAAAGATGAGTGTCTGTCACCCTGGATTTTGTGACATTTGAAAGTAATCCTTCACATTTCCTAGTACCACCCACCTCCAGCAGCACTGTCCCAGGCTAAGGAGCACTGATAGAGTTATCTACAAACTGTTAGACAGGGGCTGAGAAGAAAGTTTAAGAAGCCTATGAAAACATGTACTTTTGTTTTATAGAAAGTGAAAGCATATACCAGGGCTAGAATTACATTAGGCATGAGTTCCAGAAAGTAAGTCTTTCATATATTCATTCTCTTGGAATTCGCACCTATGGGAAGAAACAATATGCCAGAGTTGAACTGCATACTGACTTTTTTGTCACTGAAGGAGGAGAACATACAGTGAGTGGCAAGGGAATGACTGGGGGCAGGCTATCACAGAGATGTAAAGGAGGAACTTGGGTCTGCTAGTGGGCCCCCGTGTTGGGAGGGGAGGAGGGCATATTTTAAGCATACTAAGGCAGAAGAAACCTGTCAGCTGTGTGGACTCCATGGTAGATGTGACTGGAGCAAAGAGGTAGGAGCAAAGTGTGGGAGCTGTGGAAAGGGAGCCTCCACACAAAGGTGAACTGAACAGGGCCCACATTCTCAGCCTTCAAAACATGTACCAGAGTCCTCTGGGCACCCTAATGAACTCATAGGGTACCATATAGTGGCCATGTCATACTCCTAGCTTGAAATAGTTTATGATTTTACTGTTAGGTCACATTACATTCTTTCTGATGATGCCAGATCACTTAAGAACTGGGGAGGGGGGGTCTCTGCTGTTGCTGTCATTAAAAGTTAGTACTGTGGGAAGATGTTCGTGAAGAACAGGAAATGAGAGTGGAAGTTACTTATCTGTCTCCACAGTTTGGGGGAATTGTGTACTACCTGACAGGCACACACAGGTCATCAGGAATTAGTTGTGGTTTTAAAGAATGAAGTAAAAATATTTTTATTTTGACTTACATGATTTACTTTTTCAAATGACTTAGTATGGAATCACTGTGTTTAGAACTAATTCCTTAAATCAGTGGAACTATGCTTTTGGCCTAGAGATCTCTAGGAGAACTACTGAGTCACTAAATGCCCGATGGACTGAGAACTTTGTGGGACAGGTCACAGGTTTTCATTCCATAGACAAGGACAAGGACTGTCATCAGAAGGAAGAACAGTCGGGCTACAATTGGGAACAAAGGGTCATCCAGACTAGAGGAAGGGAAGCTAAGGGAGCTGTGGAGAGACAAAGTCTGACTAGGAAGTCATAATGGGGATAGAGAATGGATGAGGGACTCAAGAGAAGTTTGGATGGGAAAATGGACAGGATTTTGACTGAATACGAGAGTGTGGAGAACACAACAGGAGGTGCTTCCCAGGTTTGTGGTTTAGGAAATCAGGCTGTTTTGGTACCTTGCAGTAATTAGAAGGAGAGGGACAATGAGCTCAACCGGGGACCAGTATCATTCAGAGTGCCTCAGAAGAGTCAAATGGCACCCACCTGCACAACTGGGACTGGAGGGCAGTTAGGAGGGCTAGTTCAGAGTCTCTAATGGGGATGGGGTTTTAGGCTCTGTGGAGCATCACCATTTAAAGAGAGAAAAAAGGAACCTTGTCAGTGCACTAGCAGGATGCTATGACTGTGTTGAAATTCTTGAAGCCCAGAAAGAGGAATATAAGATAGACGGAGAGATTGACCAATGTACACGCTGCAAAAATGCTCAAGACGCAAGTGGAAGTGTTCTGCTGCCTTTTGATACCAGGGACCTTGATGAAGACAAGTTCCTGGTGGGGTGGGCACAGAGGGGACTTGGAATGGCAGATGAGGCAATAGTGGCTCCTGTAGCCATTTCTGTCTCACAAAGCTGGGTTACAGCAGGAACAGAGCTAAGGCTGAGGGGTACTGGATCATGGGAGGGATGGGCTTATTGGATGTGGGAATTTTTTAAATGGGAGATAGATAACTTGTTTCTTACTGGTAAGGATAAATGGTATGAATGGGGTTAAAGATGCAATAAAGAATCTATAATTGATGGCTTGATGTGACAGAGTCCTCAAAGGAGCTGGAAAGGAAGGGGTGAGATGTTGAACTGAGTCCTGGGTACAAGGAAAAAAGAAGTACAAAGGTGGTTACAAATAGAGGTGATTGTTGGTAGGGGCAGGAAGGAAGCTTATGGTGGGAAGGGTCCACAGCCTCTTTCTCTGTACACCTGGAAACCAGGTTATTATTGGGCCAGCAGTTTCAGGCCTCTAGCCTAGCCACAGAAGGGTCAGGGCACCAACGGAGCAGATGGATGAGCTAGGAGACCAGTGCACACTTCCTAGCATAGCATTGCTGTGCTCTTCTAGTGCCCAAAATCAGGAGTTTCCAGTATAATAAAAGTTTTACTGCATTAAAATTTGCTGTGCCTATTAATGTATTACCCAAATAAGTGCAATACCAAATACAACTTTTATTTTGTTTAACTGATTCTTCTGTTCAATTTTAGTTAGAAATCCTGTGTTCTGTCAACATTCTGCAGTTTATATTCATTGCCTTAAGACTGGACAAGATCATCCACTGGCCATGGCTTGTATGTAACTTTTTAAATCCTTAAACTTTTTTTTCCTATAAAAGTAATTTGTGTTTATTTTAGGAAACTTGGAAAAGACAGGCAAGCATAGGTAATGGACTAATAATAACTAGTTATCCCACCACTGGGAGATAGCACAGTGTTTTTATTCCCTTGTTGTACAAATAGTTGGGATTATATTGCATGTAAAATTTTGTATTCTGTTTTTTTGACCTAGCATACCATAAGCATTTGCCCAGCTCAATAAAATATCTTTATAAACACAGCTTTTGAAGTTTAATTGATGTGTACTTCAATTGCATTTTTCAGACCATCCCCTTATTTCAGAATATTTCAGTTGTTGAGAGTGTTTGCAATTTTAAAAACATGCAGTGGTGTGTATATGTAAGTTTTCTAAATTTTAAATTGACACATACTAATTGTAATTTATGGGATATGGTGTGACCTTCCAATACATGTTTACCATGGGTAATGATTAGGTCTAATGATCAAATCTGAGTAATTGGTGTATTTCTTACCTGAGACATTTATCATTTCTTTGTGTTGAGAATATTTAAAATCCTAGCTATTTTGAAATAGTCAATTAATTGCTGTCAGTCATAGTTATCCTACTGTGTTATAAACATCAGAAATTTTTCCTCCTGTTCAACCTGCAGTGTATATTTTTTGTGTATAAAAATCCTTACTTGTAGAAACTGTGAGATTCTTAAAAACATATGCCACACTGCCAAACTTGCTTTTCAGACAACCTGTACTAGTTTACACTTTTGCTGGGGATGGGCTCATAAGTCATGCTTCTAAACTGTACATTCAGTTAATGGGTATTTGGTTAAAATTGTACATGGATACATGAATGGAAGGAAGTATACATAGATAAGTGACAAGTTACACATTAGAGAATATAGTATTCTTTCACCTAGTACATGTTTAGAAAGAAGACTGAGAGCAAAGGCAGAAGAGTTACAGTGCTCCTGGGGCATGAGGTTATGCCAGTGGTTCCGGTTTGGGTTTTGGTCTTGGTTTCCTTATTTGATATGTACTTTTGTGCATGAGACATTTCCTGTACTGAACATAGTTTACCTTTTTAAAAAAAAAATAAAAACTACAGTAAAAAACAAGAATATTCATTTGGAGATAGGGAAAAAATTAAGGGAGCATAGCTTCCAAAATTAAAGATATTTATAACTTCTGCACATAGTCTTTAATAGAACATTCATAATAAAAAATATTGTATAGGTACCCATTCTACATCTTCAGGACGTTCTAGCTGGAACATGGTAATTGAGTTCAAAAGTGATTCAGTTACAACATGGAGGACACAAATCCAGTCAAGAACAACTTTTTTGGCATAAGGTACAATTAGGAAAAAAGATTAGTAATTTTCAGTGTTTTCAACAAGTGAACAGAGGAATTTCCCCTGTTAATGCCAGTGGATGAAGCAGTCTGATTGCACTTTTCCCATTATGAGCAAGAGAGCAAATAAAGCCGTCAAAAACACTTATTATTCCACCCTTGAATGGAATTCACAGATGTGTTTTAGAAGGGGGAAGACAGGCTACACAAAGACTTTTTGGTGAAACCTACAATCCAGAAACTCAAGTTCATTAGGAGGTTTAAAAATCATGTATCAATCTAAATCATATATCTTAAGAGTAAAATGTAAAGCTACAGAACTGTTAGAAGAAAACATAGGACAGAATTTTGAGGGCATGCATTTAGTTGAAGAAGTGTTTAAAATGGCACCGATAATAATGGTCCATAAAAGAGAGAAATAATAAATTCAGACCTCCTAAAATTAAAATGGCATGAAGGAAAAGACAGGAGACAGACTGGGTGAAAATATTTGGAAAACACATCCAAACTTTGACTTATACCCAAAATATACAAAGAATTCTAAGAATTAAAAAAATAAGAAAACAAATGCCTGAAGTAAAAACTAGCAAAAAACTTTTGACAATTCACAACGAGGAGCATATGCACATGCTGAGTAAGCACAAGAGAAGATGCTCAACACCATTACCTATCGGGGAAAGGCAAAATAAACCAAGTGTGATCCTACCACATATTAGAATTGGCAAAAATAAAAAAAAATGTACTGACAATACCTAGTGCTGGGGAGGATGCAGAGAAACTGGGACACTCTTGCATTACTGTCAGGAAGGCAGAACTGTATAGTCAATCCAGAAAAAAGTTGGCAGTTTCTTGTAAACGTGCACTTACCATGTGACCCAGCAGTCCACTCTTGGGTATTTACCATAGAAAAATGAAAACTCATAGCCACCCAAAAACCAGGACACAATTTTTTTACTGACCTTGATTGTGATTTCCCAGAGCTTAAAACCACCTGCAGTGAGTGGGGAGGTAAACAAACTTGGGTTATCCATACAGCGGAATGCCATCCATAACAAAAAGCTACAGGGAACAACTTGAGTGAATCTCAGATATATTATGCTCATTGAGAGAAGTTTACTTGTTGAATGATTCCATCTATACAACATTCTTGTAAAGACAAAGTGCAGTGACAGAGAACAGATCTGTGTTGACCAGGGGTTGTGTTGCAGTTACAGCATGACAATGGAGGAGCAGCATGAGGGAGTTTTATAGGGTGGCAGAAGAAGGTAGAGCCTATACCAATGTACAGGTATTAGAACTTAGAAATATGCACCAAAAAATCCAGTCAAGTTTACAATATGATCATTAAGAAAATAAAAAAGGACAACTGAATAATCCCTGCTGCAGGAGTAGAGAGAAACAAGATGTTAGGGAGGCTGGCTGGGTGATGCCCCCAGGGCTTAACCTGTAGGCTTGTGTGTGAATAAGACAAGGTCATTCTGCTATGACAACATCACACTCAGAATGTTCCCTGGCATGGTGACAAGGTCAGGTGATGCGATATACCCCACATGAATCTGCTAAATTCATTAACTTGGTAGGGGTGAGGGTAGAAGCCCAGGCAGCTGAAGTTTATGGAGAAACTTCACACAACCTCCAGCAGGTTGCAGATAGGTGCCTGTGAAGAGAGTATGTGAGGGTAAAATAATAGTGTGCACAGGGAAAGCCTGAGTGACATGTGTGAATGGCCGTGAGAGTGAGTATGTGAGTAAGAGTGAGTGAACGAGTGGGAGGGAGTAAATGTGTGAATGACTAGGAGCAACTGAATGAAAAAGTATGAGTGAATTTGGGAGTGAATGAGTGAAGAAGTTAGTGTGAGGGAGTGGAGACAGGGACTGAGAATGAGGGAGTGACTCAGGGTGAGGGAGTTAGTCTGAGATGGAGGAGTGAAGGAGTATGAGTGGATGAGTGAGGAAGGAAGTGAATGAGAGTGAGGGAGTGTCTCACCAGGAGGAAGTGAGTGTGAGTGACTGAGCATGAATGAGTGAGGGAGTGATTCTTGGAAGGAGGGAGTAACTGAGTATGATGGAATGAGTGTAGGAAGGAGTAATTGAATGAGTCAGTGACCGAGCATGACAGAGTCAGTATAAGTGACAGTTGGCATGATAGAATAAGTGTGTAAGGGAGTGACTGAATGAGGAGATAAGTGTGTGTGGGGAGTGGCTGAGAGTGAGTATGTTGGGGACCGCGAGAGTGAGGGAATGAGTACGTAAATGAGTGATTGTGAGAGTGAGGCAGTATGTGAGTGAAGGGAGGACATGCAGAGGCAGTAGCCCAGATTGCAAGGCTGTCACCTGAAGGAAATGTGGGCTGATGACAGCATTTCCTGCAGGCAGACCCAATGGTGAACACTTTAGTTCCCATGCTGTCCTCATGGCAGTCCTGAGTAGCACTGCCTTTTCTTGACTGACCCAGGAAGGTTAGAACAATGGCGCCCACCAGAGGCTGGGGTAAAATCTAAAGACACTATCTGTCCACTTCTCCCTGCAGGTGGTGTGTGTCCCCCTGTGGATCCTCATGTCCTTCCTGTGCCTGGTGGTCCTCTATTACATCGTGTGGTCTGTCTTGTTCCTGCGCTCTATGGATGTGATTGCAGAACAGCGAAGGACACACATAACCATGGCACTGAGCTGGATGACCATTGTCGTGCCTCTTCTTACTTTTGAGGTAAGCTTTCTACAGGATACCTCCTTGGCCTCTGAAGCCCACACTTATTTTGACCATACCCTGTATAGCTAGAAAGCTAGCCCTTGACATCCCAGTGAGCCCCTGCTGGAGAGAAGGCCTAGAGGAAAGGGCAGTGAGGACATGTCCTTTCCCCTCAGGGATGGGGAGCCAGGGGTGCTGGCAGAGATCAGTGTACCTCTACAGCTGTGGTGCATCCACATGTGTCCAGCTTCTACTTTTTGAAAAAGAGAGTTGGATATTGGAGTTCTGTAGAGAATTCTGGTATAGGGGACTCTTAGAACAAACCCCAGGCAGAGTTTCTTAAAAAACTGGTGATGAGGTATCTCCAAGCAGATGGATGTTGCTTGGTCCTGAGGAGGGATGCAAAAGTTCATCTGGTTCTCATCTGAGTAGTTTTCTGCCATTTCTTGTGTTGGCTTTATTACTTCAGAGACCTGCCTGGGGAGAACCCACCTAGTGAGGCAGCTGCAGACTTTGTCCATTTTCAGATGTATCAACAAGAACTTGACTGTGCGTCTCTTTCTCTAGATTCTGCTGGTTCACAAACTGGATGGCCACAATGCTTTCTCTTGTATTCCAATATTTGTCCCCCTGTGGCTCTCATTGATCACGCTGATGGCAACTACATTTGGACAGAAGGGAGGAAACCACTGTATGTACTCAGCCTTTCAGAAGCCCTGTGGGGGGGTGCATGTATGCATGCCTGTGCCCTATGAAAGGATGATGTTTGAGGGCCGCAATTTACGAGTTGGTATGGACTCTAGGAAGAGGCTGAGGAACATCTGTAATGTTCTAAGGTTAGGACATGGTGTGACACTTGCTCTGAAACACTGGCCTATACAGCTTGCCTCCAGTGCACACTGTAATTGGAAAGTGGGTGAAACAAGGCAGGCTGGCTATCTGAACTCCTGTGTCCTCCTCTTCAAGATGGGGTTCACAGTCCTTTCTCCCAGAGTTCAGGAAGATAGATGAAAAAACCTTTTTCTTCTGCTGGACACCTAGGAGTCATCCTAGGTCCCGTTCTGCCATGCCCCCTCCCCATGACATCATAGAGTCTTGCCAGCTGTCCCTGGCTAGACCACTCTATCTCTCCACCAGCATGCTGTGGCATGTAGTTTTGAATCTTTGAGGTGGGTCCGTTCACAATATTTTGAGCTGCACTGGATGTAACCTAGACAACTAGCACACCGGCGGCCCATGTAGGGGGAAGCCTAGATTGCAGACCAGGCTGTGCTGCTGCTTGTGCCCTGAAAGAGCCAGCACCAAATTGACAGTCTCCTGTGACAGAGAGGGAGAGTGAACCTTGAAACTAGCTCGGAGAGGGCTCATGAGCTCATAAGTACTGGCCTTGACCAACTCCCTTCTCAGATTCCAGAGGGTAAGAGAAAGCTTTTGCTCAGATTATGCTTTTGTTTATGCATGAGTTTAATTTGGGCAGGGAAGATTGAAGGAAAGTAACATGGTCTAGGTCCTACCACAGGTATTTGAGAACCACCAGAGCAAGCAGGGGCTCTCAAACTCCACCATTCATCCCAGTCCTTGAAAAGCCAGGTAAAGTGGCCCCACACTACCCAACCCATCCTGATTTCTGAATGAGGAGGCCTGGGCCGGCTCAAGAATTGCCTCCTAACAAGGCTCTGGGATGATGTCACTGCTACTCTAGGGTCCCCACTTTGAGAACCCTGGAGCTAGAGGTCTGAATTCTTCACGTTATTGAGCATTTGGAGCTTGGACAATCTTTATTTCTGGGTAAATTGGTACATTGTGCCAATAAACCTAGTTCAGGAAAGAAAAGCAATGTGAAAGCCTACAGCTTGAAAAGCAAAATTCTTATTTTTCAGGGTGGTTTGGTATTCGCAAAGATTTCTGCCAGTTTCTGCTTGAAATCTTCCCATTTTTGAGAGAATACGGAAATATTTCATACGATCTCCACCATGAAGATAATGAAGAAATGGAAGAAACCCCAGTTCCAGAACCTCCTAAAATTGCTCCTATGTTTCGCAAGAAGGCCAGGGTGGTTATTACACAGAGCCCTGGAAAGTACGTCCTCCCCCCTCCCAAATTAAATATTGAAATGCCAGACTAAAGGGCATTTGTGGGGCCAGAGCGTGAGTGGACTGGGTTGTACTCTCCCCCATTCCTCTGCCTCTCCCCCGCCCAGGCCAGAATGGTGCTGGGCCTCCAGGGACCTCCATCTCATGCCTCGTTTGCATTCAGTGTCAATCAGCCACTCACCACAATGGGACGCAGAGGTGGCAGGAGACCGAGGACATCCATGGATATGGATGCCAGGGGGCGTATCAGAGAGGGAGGAACCTACTTTCCTCAGTTTAGGCGCCTGAGGCATGTGCTCGTCCCCATGGTACCCACCTGGGGATGCCTGCTCTGGGATGGCTGCTTGGTTAGGCCTGCAGAAGGAGCATCTATGGCCAGGGAAGTTTTTGAAGTGCTAAAATTCTCATCAAAGCATTGTTGGAAGATGTGGTTTTCATGGGGCTACCTGCATGTGCAGCTCAGAGCTGTGCTGCTGCAGGCAGCCAGTGGGGACTGTATCCAGGTCTGCACATACCTGGTGTTCAGGCACAGCACAGCCATGCTTTTCCCTGTCCTTATCGTGGAGAGGTTTTCCTTTGGGCATACTGACAGCAGGTCTTCATAACCTCATCAGTGAGCCCTTCCCAATGGAGTGACTTCATGCCTGTATAGTATTTATACAAATATTTTAGCATTGTAATATACAGTGTCAAATCCTAGTTCTGTACAGCATATTCTGTTAAAGTATTTTTTTACAAGCTTGTTCTGGAGACAGACGTGTTCTGCCATAAAACTGTAGAAGTAGGTGGCACACCTTCCGCGCCCCAGAGGAGTGCTACACCTCCACGGGACATTGCCATTAATGCCCTGAAACTCCTTCACATGAATAGTAGCTGCTCCTGCCTGCACAGCCATGACAAGCAAGAATAGGGCTGTGCTTTTCCAACACCCAGGGAAATCTGCCGAGCAGAAACCTACAAAGCACTGCTTGAGGCCAGACACTGGAGAAGGTTGCTAAGAGCAGAAATGGCCAGGGACTCCTGTCTCTGTTAAAGCCTGGCCTTCTGCCTTCTGACAATAAGAGGGCCATACACCAGTGGGCATGCCCGTGCTATCACCTGATGATGCAGTTTCTCCAGGCTCTACTGCTCCAGCCAGCCTGGAACCCAATACTGAATACTGTAAGCATAGTAGCCTCTATCAGAATCAAATAGGTTACTTTCCAAAGGACATAAGAGGAGCATTGATACTCCTGCCCAGGAGACGCAGGCAGGTTTTCAACATGGGCAACTACTCAATTGGCCTCAATAGGGAATAATTGAAGTCCATTGTTTCCCTGATCCCATCCCTAGTGTGGAAGTCCAGAAAACCTGTTCTGGTTTCAGGAAAAAGGGGGACCAGAATGGTGTAGCCTTTCCTGCTTGGTGTATAAAATGTGTAGCTAGGTCCACTATTTCTGCTCCTTGTAATTGTTCAATAAACTAATTCCTCATTTTACATGTGTATGGTGTGCATCTTATTTTATAGGTTGCTGGGAGAACTAGAATTGATCTTGGCTAGCATCTAGGGCAATCTCTAGCTGCTATAGGCAGCAGAGGCTGGCAGGTGTGGCTGAGTGTCCTTTGTGATTTGAGTTGCTCTTGAAAGGGCAGCAGGAGGGCTACACAGAGGGAAAAAGGGGGTGTCATCCACCAACAGTCTACCATTGGCTGGGTGTACGGTTGGAAAGAGGGGTATCACCAGGACTGTACTGTTGGCTGGGAAATGACACACTGCCATTGTTGAAGCCTATCGGAGACTTTCTAGACTGCTCGTGGAGTTCGAGAATCATTCTGAAACTGAAAATGCCTTTGGAGTGCTGCTGAGGACTTGTCCAGCCATGTCAGCAGATGAAGATTGATTCCCTCCCAAAGACTCTGAGTTTCTGTCTAGCTCACTCTAGATATCTCTATGGTTCCATGGAAGTGTAACTTGGATGACCTTTCAGCTCATTGCTGGCAACAATTGACAAGTCCACCAGTTGCTGTTGGTTGAGGGATTCTCTGCAGGCAGCCGATGGCCATAGAGGTGGATTCCTAAGCTCACTGGATATCAGACTTGCTGGTGAAGAAGACACCTGTGCCTGGTGTTTCGGTGCATGTGTGTAATCCCAGCTATTTAGGAGGCAGAGATGTTAGAATCATGAGTTCCAGGCCAGCCCAGTCAAAGGTAGTAGGACTGTCTCCAAACAAAATTTTAAAAAAGATTGGAGGCATAGCTCAAATGGCAGAGTACATACCTAGCATTGCTTTTGTGAGGCCCTGTGTTCAGTCCCCAGTACTGAAAAAGAAAAAATGCCTTATTAAGTAACAACAGGAGCCGTGACTCAACCGCCAGGTGCCTCAGTGCTCCTGTGTGTGCCACTGATTCTCAACCCTGGCAAGCAAGTGCCACTGTTGATCCCATGAAGAAAGGGAGATTTAGAGAGGTTAAGCAATGATCTCAGAGGCCAACAGCCAGGAAAGTAGCTAGGCACAGATGGTGACATCAGACCATCAGACGTCTGCTTGCAGAACCCTGGGTCTTACCCACTCTGCCTGAGGGCCTGGGGCCCTGCGGTCAGGAAGTCTCCACTGTGGAGGCCTTATTGGTTCGCAGGAATTCCTAGAAGATCATGGAGGTTGGTTCCAAGAATAGAGTGTGGAGAGTCTATGGAGAAGTGGCCCTGAAATGGGGACGCTGGGTCCACATCAGTGAACATGATGATAGAATCAGTGTAGGTATTAGGAACTCTTCTCTCAGAGATTTATTTTGATGCTAAAAAACACAAGGTTAAGTATTGGTATATATAAGGAAATGTCACAGTGAAAATCCTTGTATAACCATCATAAAGAAAAAAATTGTCTTTTTTTTTAATGAAGGACAGGAAGGTAAAGTCCTGTACAGAGGTAGGTCCCAGTGGGACTGGGACGAGCACAAGGAAAGGATGAAGGAGGTGAATATGGTGGAAGTACCATGTATTCATGTGTGAAAATGGAGCAATGAGACCGTCGAAATTGTTCTGAGAAGGAGGAGGGATAAAGGAAAAAGATGTGAGAGATGAATCTTAACTAAGATACACTGTAAGCATGTTTGTAAATGTCACAGTGTACCCCCAGTACAACTATAATATACTAATAAGTAAATAAGACTAACTATTGAAACTTGGGAAAGACTCAACAGCTTTCCCAAAGCAGGTCCGTTGCAGGTGGCAGTTGTTGGAGTTTTTTTGTTCGGAGCTGTATTTCTTAAGTTCTTGATTTCTTCCCTTATATTTAAATTTTAAGTTCTTATTTCTCGAGTTGAACTCAAAAAACAAGTTTACAGTAAAAAAATGCCCAGCATTTTTGACCCAACCTGGCTTAGCTTGTGACAAGCCTCCCCTGATACTTGGGGAGCCAGGTCCCAAGGGAAGAAAATTGATCTGGGCTGCTGTGGACCTTCCTGAGGAAAGGCCCTGCAGTGGATCAAAGCTCTCCCACCTGGCAGGTCGGGCTGACTATAGGCCAAGCCTGGATCTTCTCCACACAGATTCTCCGGGCTGCGGACAAGTGCACAGGCCCAAGGTTCACAGCATTTAGACTAAGGATACCTCAGAAATGGGCCAGGGAAGGGCAGGCCCTGTATTTCCCGGGAAATACACACCAAGTGCCGGAAGTCAGGGCCACTGAACCGGGCAGAGCAGGCCTGGGTAAAGCTCTGGCCACACATCTCTGTGGCCGTCCTCATCTGAGGATGTCCTTGAGCACCATGCCTTCTGCACCCTTGTCCTCCCTCAAAGGGACCTGAGGAGCAAACCATTGCAAGAGATGGCTAACACTTGGTTCTCTGGGACCTGGCAGAGACATTCCTAGTCTTACAGGAACTCCTGGTGCAGAGGCCTCCTGCCAACAACGTGCCTACCTCTTACTCCTCCTTCCACAGGTGAACAGGCACGGCGAATCAGGGCATGGGGCCTAACCAGTCATGTGTTCTAGGGTCCCGTGAGATCACTTAACAGATTATGCTGAAAATTTGACAGAACAATAGGCTTCTCAGACTGCCTGGAAAGATTGCTCTGACGGGGAACAGCCTTTCATTTTCCTAACTGCAGTTTTGCTCAGAGATTAAGGTACTGCCTGCTATCCTTGGTGGCTGGAGCTCATGCCTACCAGATGCCCCAAGTTCTTGTCTTCATTATTGACCACCATTTTAAATATTAGCAACTCCATTTTCCTGCTCACTCAAGTATGAGGTGCATAGGTAAGTCTTCGGTGAAGCTGGGCAACAGGAAGGTGATGTCTGTAGAGGTAGGAGACTGACTGAGGGTGTGCCAAACCTTGGATAAATGTTGGCTCTGAAAGCTTCAACATGTGCCCTGAGTGACAAAGGCCCCCCACCTTCTACCTAGAAGAGTGAGGGCTCTGTCCAGGCATTAAAGTTTCTGGATTACATTTCTGGCATTCTTTGCTCCTTTTAGTAGAGAGGCAAATCACCAGACATATCACTGACATTCTTTGGTGAGGCAGAAATGTATATTCACTGGGAAGACTGACCCTTGAGGCCCAAAGAGCTCGTGCTTTTCATTTAGAACTTTTCATAGGAACATTTCTAAAATGTATACATCTGCATGCTGCCATTGGGAGAGACTGTACACTACCCACTCTCTCTTTGGTGACTTGGGACCCTCACAACTAATGCCCGGTGTGTTCTGCTGGTTCATTGATTCCCCCAGTGGCTACAGAAACATGTTAGCATGTTGAGCCAATGATCAGCCTCAGATACAAGTGACTTTTTGGTCAGCTTCTCCACAGTTCCCTCTGGCTGGGTGTCTGAAAGGCTCAGATCAGTCTTGGGGACCCAGAACATCAAAGTGTCCATAAATGGATGAATGGATAAAGAAAATGTGGTATATTTACACAATGAAGTATTATTTAGCCATAAAGAAGAACAAAATTGTGCCATCAGAGACAACATGGATAGAACTGGAGATAATTACGTAGAGTGAAATAAGTCAAGCGCAGAAAGATGAGTACTGCATGACCTCATTTATGTGGAATTTTTAACTTGCTTTGATAGGAGTTGAGGGTTGAATGGTGATAACCAGTATGTAGAAGTAGCTAGTAAGGAGATTATATTACACAAAAAGAAATAGTTCTGGTGGTATAATGCACAGTAGGGTGAATATGGATCATGACATGACTAAATAGCTCAGAGAGCTAGAAGAAAGGATTTTGAGTGTGTTCATCAAAAGTGAAAGTATTTCAGGGAACATACTGAACCTGATTTAAACATTATGCCATCTATATACATGTAGATAAACATAATCTCATACATATCTACAATTGTTATGTTTCTGTGTATCCATTAAAAGATCAGTGTATTTTAAAATTTAAAAATTCCTGCAAACACATGCATCTCTATAACATGAATGTGCAAATAGCCTACCAGGTATTCAAAGGAACTATACATGCTTAAACAGATAGATTAGAAAATAAATATTTAAATCACCAAAAGCAATTCAAGAAACTAGGGAATGAATATCATATTAAACTTAAAGTAATAAAAGGTAGTAAATAAGATAAATATAGAAATAGCAAATCAGAAAAACCATAAGGCCAACTAACAAATACCAATTCTTTAATACTGCTTATAAAATTGGCACTGTCACAACTATGACCAAATGCTAGAGAAAATTAGAAGTAAACAATATAAGTTAAATAAAATTGCACAGAATATACATGTAGACAGTATTTTAAAAATTTATTAGCATGTAATATTTATACAGGGAATACATTATGATATTTACATATGTGTTTACAATATATCTTAGATTTACTTCCTCCATTCTCCCTCAGCCTGTTCCCCCTTCTTAGAACATGTAGAAAGTATTTAAATGATATAAGAACACACAACAGCAAGCATGAAACCCTGAGTTCAAACCCTGTACTACCAAAAAGAAAAACACAAAAGACTAAATTCCTCCATAAAGAAGTAAAAACACATTTGTGCATGGTGGCACAAACATGTAATCCCACAACTCAGGAGGTTAAGGCCAGCCTAGGTTACACAGTGAGACCCTGCCTCAAAAGAGAAAAAAAGTAAATATTCTTTAATCCAGCAATGTAAACTGAAACTGTATTCAACACTCAGGATACCCTCAAATGTTCCAGAGCAAGGCAGTTTTGGAGCTCAGCTATACCAGTGATCATAAAAAGCTAATCACTGTCATCTTAAGTAAACTCAATGCATACAAAAAGATGGAAATTCATATAACTCCTTTTCCCAGGGCTTCGTTCCTTGATTCAAAAACCAGATGGGTGCCACTTTGCCCCCTACTATGAAAAAAACACCTGAGCTAGGTTTGCTCAAATAGTGGAAATACTCTAAATGATAGTATATTCAATGTATCAATAAATTCAGTGAAGAAACAGAAATATATAACTCAATGGCTATGGAAAAATCCTTTGAAAGAAACTCAACGTGACA